TTCAGGCCCTAGAAGCTGCTCTCAGCTCTCCCTGGAGCCTTCTCTTCTCCAGGCTGAACACCCCAACTCTCCCAGCCTGGCTCCAGAGCTGCTCCAGCCCTCCCAGCATCTCCGGGGCCTCCTCTGGCCTCTCTCCAGCAGGACATCTCTCCATGGTTTATTTCACACAGTTTTCACCCTGAACAAACCCATCCTGTGCTGCACAGAAAAGCCCTTCCCCATTGGCTCTGAAGCTGTGACCTGGCCCATCCCTCACCTCTTTCCAGAAATCTCCCTTCCAGTGAAGCCCATTTCTCCCCCTCCCCTGGCTCTACAGCCTCCTCTGACCTCTCTCTCCATTCTCCCAGGAGAACAAGCTCCATCATTCCCAGGACAAGCTCCACCACCCTCCCTGGGGCTCAGGTGAGGCTCCCCAGCTCTGAGCTCCCTCCATCCTCCTCCTTGAAGAGAGGGATGACTATTTTAATTCCAACTCTTCCACAGCTCTGAAGGAACCTCCCCTGATCACCACGACCTTTCAGAGGTCCAGTGGCCCTGCAGGTCCCTCAGCCATTACAGGCCCAAGAGACCTGGGACACAGGGTCTAAAGGCTCCGTGGCCTTTATCCCTCTCCAAGGTACCTCTCAGGCCCCTCCAGCTGCTGCTGGCCAGTCCTACCTCTGAACACCAGGCTGAAGGTGCCATCCAGTCCCTTTTCCATTTCCTTTGTGACTAAGTTCCCATTCCCATTCCACCCTGAGCCCCCTTTTCTGTCAGTCCAGATGTTCCTGTCACTCTCTTTCCTGTTGCTCTTCCCACCCCTCGGCAGTTTCAGCCCCAGGGGGGGTCCCAGCTTCCCCTCCCAGGGCATGAGCTGTGGCCCCAGCCCTGTGAACCCTCCTCAAAGAGCAAAGCAAACAGTGGGAATACTATAAACATTTTATTTATTGTTTTCAAAAAGACAGGAAAATAATCTAGATCATTTATTTATATTTTTTTAAATAAAAATCTTTACAGAAGCCTCATGCAGAAAAGACCTGGGGTGAGCCAAGGGGGGCCCTGGGGGGGCTGGAACCCACTGCCCTGACCCCAGAGCAGGGACAGAGGCAGCTTTTCTTTTTTTTCTTCTCCCCAAAACCAGTTGGTTTCTGAACACAGTGAAGGGAACCCGAGGACACGGGCAGGGATGTGGATTCCACTCAACGTGACCCAGCAGAGGAGGAGGATGGAGCTGGAGCTGCCTGCAGGGGCAGGGATTCCAGCCTGGCTGCTCCACTCCTGGGAGCTCTTGGGGCTGTTTTACCTTCCCAGCAGTTTGCTCCCTCCCAGGAGGAACCCGTGGTCCTGGAATGCATTGGGAGAAGCTCCCGTGTTTTACTGCCTGTGGGACCCAGGAGGTGTCTGTCCCCGAGGCTGCCCTAAGGCACACACAGAGGTGTCACCCCCCCTGCTCCTGAGGCTGGGAAGGAGCTGGCTTTGCTTTTGGAGATGGAGAAATGGGAGAAATGGGAGAACCAAGAGGCTGGCAGGGCCCCAGAGGAGAGAAAGATGCAGGAAAAGACACTTCTGAGCTTCGTTTCTTCTCCCTCCCCAAACCCCAGAGTAGACTTGGAACATCAGGCCCTGGCTAAAGCTCATCCATGGTCAGTTGAGGTGCCAAAGGTCCATCAGTTGACAACTGCAGTCCCACCAAAGCAGGAATCTGCCCACAGGGGAAAAAAACCCCAAACAACCCCAAATATCCCAGACCTTGCTCCACCATCCTCTGTGCTGCAAGGACCAGGAGGGACAAGGAGCCCAGAACCCACCCCCCCTCCACGGGTACCACCTCCCCTGCTGGTGGGTTTGGCAAGAGGAGCTTTATTGAGTTTAGGAAATGCTGGGTGGCCCCGGGGGTACCAGCAAGGTCCAACACTCCGGAATTCCAGCCTTAGCCTGACAGGCTCCAGCTGCTTTTACACCTCGGGGGGAAAACCCGGCGGCTGGAGAAGGTTCTTCACCTCCCGACAAAAGGGTTAACACAGAAGAGTGAAAAGTGAGGGGAGGGGGAAAGAAAAGCTGTCGGTGGGGGGCAGGGGCCCTTCCTCAGGGCGTGCCCACGGTCAGTTCCCGCAGGTAGGACTGGGTGAGGCTCCTCAGCTCCTCCAGGGCGTAGTCCTCGGGCATGGGCAGGCGGCCGAGGTGCGGGGCCAGCAGGCGCAGCGGGAGGCGCTGCGGGGCGGGCTCGGGGCAGTGCTGCAGGCTCAGCACCACCCGCAGCAGGTTGGCCAGGCGTTTGGCCATGTCTGCAGAGAGCAGGGAGAGAGGTTTTTTTGGGGGGGGCTGCAAGAGCGGGGAGCTCCCCTCCCCATCACAGAAGGGGGAACTGCGGCAGTGAGACCGGGGATGGAGCTGAGAGGTGGAGCTGGGTTGGTGGAAACCTGTCCTAGGGGAGCTGGGAACCCCAACAAGGAACCTCATCGCCCACTTGTGCCTCCTTGGTTCACATCCAGCAGGGCCAGGGAGGGGATTGTCCCCTCTGCTCTGCTCTGCTGAGACCCCCCTGCAGGGCTGGGAACAGCTCTGGGGTCCCCAGCACAGGAAGGACACGGAGCTGTTGGAGAGAGGCCAGAGGAGGCCCCGGAGATGCTGGGAGGGCTGGAGCAGCTCTGGAGCCAGGCTGGGAGAGTTGGG